GCAATGCCCTATGCCACCGCGCGCTTTGTGTCGGCTGCCGACCACAACGATGTGCTGGCTCTGGCCACCCATACAAAGTTCTTCAAAGCGAAATAGACGTCGTAACCATCTCGGGCCCTTGTTGCTCTTAGCATGTGATTATCCCCAATTCGCTCTCTCTCTTTCACAATAATTAGTCTTTCCTTTTTTCCCGTTTCCTTACTGTTCGTTTAGTTGTTTCTTATCCATTTTTTTTGTATTCTGTAGTTTACTTGGCATGCTGCCCGATATGTACGGCACCGATGTCGGCGTCGAAACCATCGAAACCGACACGAACACAGGCACCATGCGGTTGCGGCTTTTGGTGTCCGCCGACCACATATCCGCATCCGGCACCCTGGACGAGGGTCTCGTAGCGACCATCACCGACAACCACTCCACCTACCTGCTTATCGCACACTCGCTGGCCCATGCGCCCGAGCAAATGCCCATATCGGTCTCGGTCTGTCTCACCGTGCATGTGATGGCCCGCATTGTCCCCGGAACCACAGTCGAGATTGTCTGCAGCGCGCCGCCTCTCGAAGCCCAAATGGACCAGCCCCAGGCGTCGGCCGTGTTTGTCGATGCCCGGGATCCGCGGATCGTGTATGCCCGGGCCACTCATACGAAGCAGTTTAAAGACGTGATGGGATTCAGCGGTAAATTATAGACCCTCCCCTTTTTTTCCATAGAAAAATATTGAAACTGTTTCTCTCTTTTCTATCCTTTGAAAACTTTCTAGATGAATCGTGCCGATCGAGAGTTTGTCGAGCGGGTTAACCGCAGCTACACGTTTACCAACCAGTTTCTGTACTATGGCATTGAGATCCGGCCGCAGATAACCTGGGCCAGTGCCGCTGCGGGCGAGTTTATCGCCGAGTGGCTGGTAACCTCCGAGCACATTAACGCGGCCGGCTGCATCGACGAGGGCTGCCTGGGCACCGTCACCGACAACACCACTGCAATGCTCATCGGCAGCCTGCTGGGCGCGCGTGGCAACAGCGTGTCGACGTCGATATCCATACAGGCACTAACGCCTATCCGTCCAAACACCCGCGTGGAGATTGTATGCCGCCTATCCAGCCAGTCGTCAAAGCAGCCGCATGCCACCGCCACGTTCAAGGACAAGTGCGATGGCCGCGTGTATGCAATCGGGTCCCATACAAAGTTCTTCAAGGCCGGGTTGTCTGAAACCCAGCCGCGACTCTAAAACAAGCTTACTCTTGAACATAATCGATAAATTCTCTTCTATCCCCCTGGAAAAGCAACACCATGAAGCTGGTTAGCGACGAGCAGCTGCGAGAGGCAATGGGTGCCGAGCTTGTGCGCAGGCGTGGAGCTGACTTTGGTCTTGACGGGTTTGTCGGACACGTAGTTTGCGCGAGCGTTTCTCGAAACACAGTCACGGTGCGGGTCACTGTGACTGCAACCGAGGTGAACTCGTCGGGCACGCTGGACGAGGGCTGGACGGCCGCCAGGGCCGATGCGCTGACAGGCACGCTAATATGTGTGCTTTCAGGCACGATTTTCCATACGACCACGTCGTTGGCAGTCAGCGTGCAGCCACGGCCGATTTGTCCGCCAGCGGAGATTTTCATCGAGCTCTCGGTCGATTCGGCGCTCCAACCTCCGAGCGCATCCGCCGTGTTCCGCGATGCCCTCAATCCCTCAATCGTCTATGCTACCGCATCCCATACAAAGCTATTCAAGCCTAGCTTAGCTGCCAGTCTCTGAAAAATTAACGATGCTTATCACATGCATTTCATACTCTCTCCTTCCGCTTCAGTTCCCGCTTTTTTTATTTGGTTTCTCTCCTGTTTGAATTTACATAAAAAAAACCCTATAATTTCTAAAGAAAAAAAAAAAGAATGACCGCGTTGGTGTTTCCAGTTTCAAACGACGAGCTTACCAGACGGGCAGATACGTGCCAAAAAGAGCTGCTTGCGGCCAACGTCAAGCTCACCACACCGCTGGTATCCCGTCTCCGCCTGCAATCGATCGTGCCTACGGGCAGCAAGGGCGACCGCATAACCGGTGCCCGGGTAACCTTCTCGTTCACCGTCGAGCCCTCGGACTGCAACACCTGGGGCACCATCCACGGCGGCTGCGTGTTCACCATCTGCAACGCCGCCGGCAAAATCGCCACTGCCGTGGTAGCCAATGGCGCTAAAAACATCGTGTCCACCGACCTGACCACAAACTACCTTGCGGGCGTCACCGTGGGCTCTACTGTGGTTGTGGAAATCGAGTGCCTGCGCACTACCAAATCCATTGGCTTTTTGCGTGGGTCCATCAAGGACGACAAGGACACGCTGTGCTATGTGTGCGTACAGAACGTCAGCTTTGAGCTCTAAGTCTCGCTTTTACTCCTTTTTTTTTTCTCTATGCATCGTATTTTTAAAAGAAATCTTTTAAAAGAAAGCTCTTAAAAAAGCGTGAAGAATTTTTTCTTTCGTTTTTCTTTCGTTTTGTTTCTTCAGCCATCACATTAAACTTTTCTCTCATCTATTCACTTTAAAACTTTAGAGCATGCAGGCGCTGGGCAACGAAATACTGTTTCGTATACTTCACAACACCAGCCAGCAGCCATTTGAAGGCATAGAGGACTGGAGGCTGGCTCTGCCCCTGCTTGGTGTGTGCAGCCAGTGGCGACAAGCTCTAGCTCCAGCAGTATACAGCTACGCATATGTTATTGCGACCCACACCCGAAAAAATGACTTGCATGTATTAATAACTGAGATGGACAGATTAGAAGAGCTTGAGGCCAATGAACTAGGCATAATTCGCATCCCTGATGCAGAGCAACCCGAGCATGTACAATTGACAACCAACCTAGACTTGCTCCAATCCTCACCAGTAACATACAGCATACACATGGCTTATCTTTCACTGTATGATCTCAAATTCCGGTTTTACAATATACTTAATGTTGTCAACCTGCTCAAGACATACTCACTTCCATGGCACAGCGTCACAGCATTAAACCTGGAAACACATCATATGTATCCAGCATATAATAGTTATGAGACCAGTACCATGCTGATTGAAAAACACAAGTATATTACTAGCCAGCTAGCATCTGTCCTTCCAAATATTACTGCATTGCGCTTTTTGGGGTTAGGTACAAACAGAGTCATTTCCAATCTGTGTGCTAGCCTAGTATCCATTTACTCCCCACAATTGCACTATCTACACTCAGGCAGCCAGCTGATGAGCAATACACACAATATATATTTGCAAACCCCCACATTCCTCCATCTACAATTGAATAAAACTAGCACGTATCAGCTATATAAGGTGTTTGCTGGCTCTTTGCTGTATCTGAAGCTAAGCATTTTAGCAGAAGACATGCCCTGGCATCAGTTTTGCAATTATGCTGACCAGCCAGAACTGGTCTATTTTGCTAGTCTCCATACACTCCATGTAAACTATAATGGCCAAAGCAAAAAGCATACAGGGCTGGATACATACCAATTTTGCTTTCCTAGATTGCAAAATCTCCATATAACTGGGTGTAGCAATAACTATGAGCTACTGGCAAACAGTGTCTTTCCAGCTCACCTAAACCATGTATCTATTGATGGGGATATCACAGCTGCTCATCATCTGGCCACCTCGGGAATTAAACAGGCTAACCACCTATCTGTGTCTGTAAATAGCACTGATGCAATTGACAGCTCAGTCATGGTGCCAATTATTAATAAGCTATTTGGCCTTAATTGCATGGCAGTGACTGGCAGCTTTCATGCCCAGGGCAGCCTTATTGCCCATGCCAATCTTCACCAAGCAGACTGGTCAAGAGTACATACATTGTCAATCTGCATGCCTCCTCAGCTCAGCACACTTGTCAAACAAATCAGCCTTATGACTTCACTGCAATCATTGAAGCTCAACTGCACAGGTGAGTTCACTGTTGACTTGCCAGTCAGCAATCCATGTCTAATCACAACTACCATTAGAAATGTGGACATAACTTGTCCACAAAGTTCTAGCAGCATAGAGAAGGCTTTGGATGTGCTGCTGTATATGGCCCAAATATCTCCACATATCAGAAGGATCACTTCCCCTGACATTCCTCAAGTGCTGCTAAAAGAAATTCTCGAAGAGAATGAACAACAGTACCCACACCTTCAGAACTGTTATGGCTAGCATTTATTCAAGAAAAGCACACAAAAAATAGCCAATAAAAAAGCATCCAACCACAAATCAGCAAAAAGTGGAGAATCCGGGCATCGATCCCGGTGCCTTACACATGCGAAGCGTACGCTCTACCAGTTTGAGCTAATTCCCCAGAACAGCTTCAAGCTGATAAGTGCTTAGTTGCCAGCAAAGCTTAGTAGGTATACTTAACACAAATAGTAAAATAGTGGAGCTTGATACCAGCAATTGCACTGGCAATAGGCATTTTGTGAGGAAGCAAGCCGCTATATCGCTGGCTTATATAGAACCAGCTATTAGTAACTGATATACGGCACTGAATGTGGAACAATAATGTTCAAACTCTAGCTGCTGATTAATTAACCATTTGCCTTAATAATTCAGCCTAGTTCTTCACATAAATAAAATGCTTAATTGCTGTCCAGTAGGTAGACACTGCTAAAGTCTTGCCACCACTTGTGTAGAGTGTAGATAGCCATTGAAACTCTGTTACACTTGTGCAAATGAACTACTTTATTTCATTTATTAATAGCTTTGGGCATGTCCATGGGGCACAAGTTGTGTCTATCCCTCAAGCTGATAGAGTGGTTAATCTATTAGCTGTGGCCAGGCATAATATTGGGCTAGATAGTGCATTCCAGGGATACTTTTGTTTTATTTATAAGGTCAACAAGCACAATGGTATCCTTAGTTCTTATGATAGCCTGGTTGATTATGGCAACCTCAGCAGCAAGATCATATATTTTGTGGAACTGGCTGAAGTTACTGAAAACATATGCACAAATCCGCATTAGCAGCAGAGCTTACTAACTATATAAACAGCCAATATTTTCAAATCCAATAAGCTTTTCTAAAAACTATTATCACATGCAAGTTTTTGAAGCAGCTTAAAACACATTGCTTTCCTGACAAAATTAATGTATATTTTAAATAACCAGGGATTAAGTTGTATACATGGCAAACAAATAAAAAAACATATTTACAAACTTAGAAAAATATCTTTTGTCGACCCAATTCCAATTATACAACTATACAACATAGAGGTAATTGAGTAGCATTGTAAACTAGAACTAGGCATGTATTATAATGTATTAACTAACTGATTAAAAGCTATTTAGAATGACTGGCAAGGTTTAATATTTTTTCTTGAGAAAATGAATATAACACCTACATTATATTCATGAGCAAGCATAGCCGTACTTGGCAATTACTCATAATTGGCACAGTGGACGGTACATAATAATATTGCATTTGAACAAACATACTTATCTTTTAGCTTTTCTGCAGTTTAATTTAGCTTAAAAAGAAATGCAATTAACTGAAGGCTGCTTTAATATATGAATATAAAATTTAATATACTGAAGCCTTTCGGCGGTTTGTTTGTATGGCTGGCTAAAAAATTAACTAATATGAAGGTGTGTGTTGGCTAGTGAGCTTGCAGCATGTTAAAAAGTATAAAACAGCAGACCTCGGGCATTGGCTATCATGGCAATCTTCATTCAATCAGTTATTTTAAAGAAAAGTATATATTATTTACATTCAATAGTTAACCAACAAGCAATGCATAGATTTATGGTGTATTATATTCCAAACGTAGATAATATTTCACCAAGCAGTGTGGTGTGTAAGGGAGTTAAATTAGACAAGGCAGCAGAAGTTTAACAGCTTTTATACAAGGCTAAGGCCAAGCACGAGGTTTCAGATGATTGCAAAATATATCTGTATGATCAGTATAGTAAAAGTTGCTCTGACGTCTTTTATTCTTGGAAATTGTCTGGGCTGCGTGAATACAAGTTCGTAATTACATGTAAGACAGCCGATGAGGTTCGAAATTTAATTGCAAACGTCCCGTCATTGTTGATATAACATTTTTTAATATTTTGGTCGCTAAGAAATTAAATAAACAAATGATACGCACATATTAACTATTATATTGAAAAGTCAGATAATTTGCTGAATATATTAATGCAGTATAAATAGTTTGTAGCTAGGATATTCAGCACTCTTGTTGTACACTTGCTATTTCAAAATATCAGCGGTATTAATAAATACTTGTGTATTAAATGACAGTCAAACAACTTGGTAGAAGGCTTAAAACCATTCACTAGATTCCGAAATCAGTATGATCAACTCTGACGCCATGTATTTGCCAGAGCACGGCACTAACAATGGCAGCGATCGATTGCGTGAAGAGAAAAAGAAGAAGAA